TAGCATTGTCCGGCTGCCTTGCTTGTCCACCCATCTTGTCCCCAGCTCCCCAGCTTGCTTGCTTGTCCCCAGCTCTGTGACACTGTCATTGTTCACGCGGCTGGTTCCGCTGTGGAGATGAGAAACATGAATGTTCTCTCTTAACCCTGAATAGATTGAATATTCATAAAGATAGATCATTTGACATGTTTTTGATATTCAAGTGTGCAAATGTGCCGGGGTAGGAGAGAGTTTTCAGCCTCCGGCAAAACTGAACATAAATATCATAGCGGAAATATAAAATGAAGCTTTTTTAACGTTTTGTTAAGTTTTATGTATACTTGAATACTCTGGCAAGGCAATTACTGTTGCCATGCAATTCCTTTGACTTGTGATAGCTAAGCCACTTGTATCAAGCTACGAAAACGTTTATGAACTACATAAAAGGAGACTTTTGATGTACCTTTGTGTTCACATTATACTTTTGCTTACGCAAAAACTAGATACCTCGCCTACCTAGCAGCCGTATGTATCAGTCGAGGACGCTGTATGTTGGACGAGCCGTTAATGTTTACACAGCTACTGTGTGAAGCAAGGCAGGGTTTATCACCTTTTAATTCAAGGTTCTCGGCGGGGATCTGGTTGAGGTATAATCGCCTGCATACCTATGAACAGGGATACGGCCAGGATATGCGAGGTTCTGCGTTATATGCGTTAGGCATGTACACCGTGTCTTAAAAAAAGTTTGAGACGTTGGTTGAGAACAGATCTCGTATCATTCCTGCCCTTAAAAGCATGATCTCACTTAGAGCCATCCGACCGCAATTTTATCAAAATGCGAGTCTGAACACGGATGTTTTTTTAAACCTGTGCAGGGCATTTCTGGCTCAAAACCGTTGATGACAGTGATGTCCTTAGAAAATAAGCGTCAAAAGATTTCACAATCACGCAAGATAACCCTTCGTGAAAACAGCTTTTGTTGCATCAACCGTTCTCCATAAAATCGCCGAAAGTCTCCACATTTTTGTCGGCACGTAGTGTCATAATCACCTCACCGTCCACCTAAATAACTTGATACCTTCTGGGAGGCAATGTAAGCCACATGATGGATTTGGATATATGAGGTCATGAACTGAATCAGGGAAATCACCGCAACTACCGCCATCAATGAGACGAAGCAATCTCGCCGATAGAATGGTGTATCCTGTTGGGTGCTGTGAAAAAGTGTCCTGTTTCCATTTTGTGTGAGGTTCCAACTGAATTTGAGAATACAGTGAGCTTGTACATGATTTACGAAGAAACACTTATTAATCACCTCATTATTATCATTATTGTAATTATCATTTATGTTGTTATTACTATATTAAAATTTATGATCCTTATACTTTATTATTATAACTATTAAATTCTCATTAACAGTGATGAATAACTAATCGTTATTGTTATCATTAACTGATAATTAACTAAAGGGTTCGAACTAATGCGCGAAATGACATATGGTGGCAGCGTGCTATGCAGTTGAGCATGGTTAATGTCTCTATGGTATGCTCAGTTCTTTTTATTGTATTCAGGGTTTATGTATATTGGAAACCGATCTAGTGATACCGGAATCATGTAAGAGAGTGCGGGTTCGACACCATTAAAGTAGATATTTAAATTTGGCCAAATTATCTCGACTCGAAAATCGGAATGAGTCAAACGTGTGCAGCTGTGAGCAAGCGTTTCCGAGAACCCGAACAGAAACCCTATCTGCTGGGAATTCAGATAGGAATGAATGCGCTAAACGTATGTAAGCATGTGTTTTAGACTAAGAAATGCAATGTATTGCTTATCCATTAACCTTTGCTATTGCAGTACATTGCGTAACTGTTTATGTATTGGGCCGTTTGCAGAACTCATGGTTGTGGTATTCTGGATTTGACTTTTCGCGCCCGCAGTGCTTATTCACCATGTCCGCATGTTTTCATGTCATCATGCCCCTTTGCCTCAACGTCCTCATCGAGGCAAGGGGACATGACCAACAATGGTAGTCATCATGATCTCGTGCTAGCTAGCGTGCTGTCTTCATGCCTTCGCGTTCCGTGTTAGCAAAGTAAGCGATCTTTTTAGCGATATATTAAGCGACCAGCTCCGATCTGAAGGTTTGAGATCAAATATGACAGGAGAATACTTAATCTGAAGTCTGTATTACAATATCACGTGCCCTTGAAGATCAAATTAAAGGCAACATAACAGGGAGCGCCTTATTTTCCAAAAGACACCGTCCTGTTTAGGATTTTTAGGCGTCAGAATATTTACCAGCTTATGAGCTGTAGACTGTCCAAAAGGCTTGACGTCTTAAATCACCCTACAAGATAAAATGCTGGCTCAGAAAATGAGAACTCCATATCACCAAAAAGTTACCAGCCGATTTAAGATTTTCAAGCATTACAATATTAACCAGCGAGCGCACGAAATAGCGTCCGGCAAGAAGTCCGTCAAAAACAGACGACTTCTGAAGGTCGCTCTTCAAGGTCAAATGACGGGGAAATATACACCACTCAAACCTTTCCGGACTATTTCAGACTTTTCAGCACCAGTATCATCTTCAGTGCTAACGTCTGTCAAGAAATACGCTCCTCTGATGGTTATCGTCTCAGGTCGAATCCAAGCTCGCATTATGGGTAGCTTCCATATCACCCAAACGCTAACGCCGTATTATGGATTTTAAGCACCAGAATATAAACCAGCGCATGAAAAGGCGTCTAACATACAGCCCTAGACTCTCAAGGTCGACCTTCAACGTCAAATGCAGGCTTGAGGATAGGGTAACTGAATAGCATCCATAAGTTTTCGCACATTTTCGGATTTTTAAACGTCACAACGCTCACTAGCCATGAACTAGTGTCTGTCAAAATGCCTTATCTCTCAAGGTCCTTCTTCAAGGTAAACGCCAGGCCCATAGGTCGGGTAACTCTAGATCACCATCGGCAGATGAGTTTTCGATGATGTGGATTTTCCCGTCATTTAGCTTTCATTGGTGACCCCTAGGGTTCAAAACTTTTTTTATAGACTCTAGTTCATTCGCTGGCAAATATTCTGATGATTCAAAAACCCGAGATCGGCAGGTAACTGTCGGATAAAATGGAGCTCCCCGTCGTTTGAACCTTCATTGAAGGCGACATTGGCGACATTGAAGAATGACCTTCATTTGGCGACATTGAAGGATGACCTCGGGAGGTCAGGAACTCTTGCCAGACGCTGGTTCATGCGCTGAAGACAGTTATGATGCTGAAGAATCCGAAATTGACCAGAAACTTTAGCGAGGCGTAAGGTTCCCGTCATTTGATCTTAAAAAGTGACCTTGAAAGGCCAAGACTTTAAGACGGTCGCTAGTTCACGCTCTGACAAATATTCTGATGCGTAATAATCCTAAATCGGATGGCACAATTTGGGTGATATAGAGTTTCCCGTCATCTGACCTTGCATTTAGCCTTGCCGCTAATGTGATATTGCAAAAAATGAACGTCAGATTTTGTCTTAGCGTTTCAACGAAACAGTAATTTGTCGTTAAATGAACTGCTGAATATGCTCATGGACAGTCGTATCCCAATGTCCTCTTGTCCTCATGTCCTGATGTCCTCATGCTTGCATGTCCGCATGCCCGCCTGTTCATATATTCTATGTCCCCTGAAAGTCTTATCTCCTCTCCCTCCTCTCCTCGTACCCCTATGATATCATGCCATGATCCTTCATGTCCCTATGCTACCATATCCGCTCGTCCTCATCTCCTCATATGCGCATATTCTCATGCAATCATAAAAAACGTCCTAATGTGCTCATTTCTCCCATAACCTATGCCGTCATTCATCATGTCCTCATCTTATGTGTGGAGGACAAGCTAGCTGCAAACTGCAAATCGTAGTGAATCATGGATAAGACTGTAGCGTTTAGCCTTATTCCTCGAAAAAACGGGAGAATGGATGTATGATATATATATTATATATAATATATATGTAATGCATAACTATATAGATATATGAGGGAGATCTCTAATGAATATAATATATATATATATATATATATTATATATAATATATATATATATATAATATATCTCTCTCTCTCTCTCTCTCTCTCTCTCTCTCTCTCTCTTCTCTCTCTCTCTCTCTCTCTCTCTCTCTCTCCTCTCTCTCTCTCTCTCTCTCTCTCTCTCTCTCTCTATTATCTATCTATATATAATGGAGATATATAATGGAGATGTTTCCTGGCTTTTCCAAGGAATAAGGCTATTACTACTGTCTTATCTATGTGAATAATATTCCTCGCTGTTGCACTCAACAACTTCCGATAATGAATCACCGTAATACGCGTGTGATCTGTAACCTTCCATGTGATCGGCGACACAATCGGCGATACGAAGCATGCTTCGCTGCCGCTGCTTGCCAAATGTCTTGCTCATTGGAAAGGCTATGGTGTGTAATGTCTCGCAAAAAGTCTTGATTTTTGTGATAGCAAATTATTCCCGAGCAACGTACGGCGCGCTGGACACCCTGTCCCACCATGCAGCTGAGAATGTCATCTTCAAAAGAAGCCCAGCTCGAGTGAAAGCAGCCCTGCTGGCGCAATAGCCTTGCAGCTGAGTAAGGCACAGCTGACTTCGAAGAAGCGGGGTCTTTGGCGCTCATCATGACTTTTGGCTAACCGCCTTAAAATGAACCGGATGGGTTCCCCGCTCACCCCGGTAGCTCGCGGGAGACCTCCCGCAAGGGCGCACCCAGCGCCGCGGAAAGCGAGGTACCTGTGGCAGGACGGACACGAAGTCACGTGTGCCAGGCGGCAACGGCTCTGGCATCCTGGTGACAACAGGGGTGTCAGTGAAAACAGGCCTCCCTGTCAACTGCTCCACGTCTCGCCATCACACGGGCCTCCACGAGGCACGGAAGTGTCCCGGAGCCGCGGCTGGGCGACGGTGGCGCCCCCACCTGCGCTCAGGGCCCGTAGCGTTACAGGCCGGTTTCGGAGAGCCGCTGGCTGGATCCATGGGTACGGGGTGCATGTTGGGTTAGTCGTCAGTCGCGCGGCTTCCCAGGAGCCGGTATGACGGTGCGGGTGTTGCTTCTGCTGACATGTGTGGCGGCGGCGGGTGCATTGAAGGCGCCTAAAAGGTAAGGCGATGCTGTGCGGACTGCTGACATGAATGACAATATGCACTGAAGGATAGCAGCTGCGACGCGGTGGCCACGCCGTTAACCGAACACTGTCTTACAAACGCAGGCAGCCGAATACGTGGGTGAGAAGGAGAGATGATGCATAGATGTGACCCGGAATATGTGTACTTGAGGATTGCTGTGAAAATAACCGAGCAGAGGAAGCAACATAAGCGTTGCATGAGACTTCACTACGTTGCACAGCTGACCGCAAGCTTTATTTTTGGTACGTCGTGCAATACTAGGCATCACACTATTCTGCACTTTTTACGGCTGTTGTACCAGACGTAGCACACTGCAACATTGTGTGTTAAGAACTGTTGTTCTGCTATGACAGCTCGCACATCAGAAGCAGCGCACTTTGACGCCGTTCGGTAACCGACTGATGCCACTGGTGGTACATCAAAAGTAGCAAACTATTGTATCGTAAACCAAAGGACTGAAGTGACTGTTAGTACATCAGAAGGTGCACTCTATTACACCGCTGACAAAGTACATCTTAGTACATCTATTGCCCCGTTGACAAGGGACTGATGTGGCTGCCGGTACATCAGAAGCTGCACTCTATCACACCGCTGACAAAGACTTCGTGTGAAGGCTGGTACACGAGGCTGTACCGCGCCGTGCGGGGCACCGCCTCTTTCAAAATGGCATGATTGTTGGTACGACAGGCGCAGGAAGGCTTCGTGAACGTGAGCTTATTTCAGATTTCCTAGAGCGACCATGCACACACACCACACACACACACACACACACACACACACACACACAACACACACACACACCCACACACACACACACACACACACAACACACACACACACACACACACACACACACACACACAACACACACACACACACACACACACACACACACACACACACACACACACACACACACACACACACACACAAACACACACACACACACACACACACGCACGCACGCACGGCACGCACGCACGCACGCACGCACGCACGCACGCACCGCACGCACGCACGCACGCACGCACGCACGCACGGCACGCACGCACGCACGCATTGCACGTTGCACAGCTGACCGCATGCTCGATTCATGGGACATACGTGCGTGCGTATATCCACGCACGCACGCACGCACGCACGCACGCACGCACGCACGCACGCACGCACACATATATATATATATATAATATATATATACCGCGCTCTGTTCTCAGTTGTAACGTAATGGACTATAAAATATCTATAAGGAGCGTAATTGTAATATTTTTCGGAGTCTAGCGTTCCTGCGCCCCTGAATGAGAACCAACGAATTCAGTGATTAGTCGTGCTACGAGCCAACATTCTTCCCCTCGTTATTATAGCTCCGCCAGCCACACTGTACTTGCAGCCGGGTAAGAAGCGGGGTGGGTCCACGTACATCGTCGGCCAGCTCCTACAACCTTCACGAAAGACAGGAAAATCTGGTAGTTACACGTATATTACGTTTACTAAAATATACGCTTGTCAATATTTCAGACCACTGCCTCACAGACAATGGAATAAACCAGAACGAAAGCACACAGCTTTCAAATCAACGCTGCACTCAAACAGGCATGGACACTTATCACCACCCATCTCGTGCAAAACGTCTGTCTCGTTTGCTCCACCCAGGAGAGACCACGGTGCGGAGTGCTCGATTCATGGGACTCATGCTTTTCACGGGCTCACGCATGCGCGGAACTACCAACAATCCAAACATCTGTTGCCGGCCGTCTGGAGTGGATTCGGTAAATCGCTCCACGCCGTGGTCGAATATTTCATACATGCTTGTATATTGTCGTCTTCCTAATGACTTACACTGAGCTTTAAAGAGAAATAAATATTACAACCGAAACAGAAAAAGGGCGAAGAGAATGATCCGAAACGGATGGTAATAGTGTGCAGTATCTTTCTCACTTTCACTCGAAAGCACTTGCTTGTGTGTTTGCTTTTTCGTGCGGTCCTTTTGCCTTTACAACGCCGCAAAATAATTCTGAGCAACTTCCTCGACACGGTTGCTGTTGGGTCGCACCAAGATCGCTGCCGGTTCGCACTCACTGCGATGAGTGCGAGCTCCAAGGTCACTGGCGGCTGGTCGGCGGTTACATGTTGTTGTGCACTTTTCCTTCCAGACAGAGGCCTTCGTGGGCTGGATTTGCGCGTTCAACCCAACTGTTACCCGTGGAGTGTGGATTACACTTTCCGCCGAGCACTCCTAATCAGTCTTAACCACCCGTAACCATGTCACCGCCCATCCCGTTCTTCGCCCGTTTACGATGGAAGATCCCATGGTTTCGGATACAAAAAATACGACACAATAAAAAGACTCACGGTTTTAATTACCTCTTGTTCTGGATCACTCAAAGGTCATGTAAATATTGCTATGACGATCCAAACAAATCAGCCAGGAGTATCTTCTATTTTTTTGCAAAAATTTGTGCGCCCATTATGTCGCAAAGATCTGATTTCAGAACGCTTGCGGGTCCAAAAACGCAGTCACTGACATGGAGCATTCCTCAAAATGGCCATGTCCTTAAGGACGCACAATATCTCCCCGATTCATGGCATTATTCATTTCACACGGGTACCCATAGGCTTACCCAAACCGTGACTCTACCCATGTCGCGTCGATTGTGTTATTCGAGATTGTCTGTTTAACGGCGCTGAGACATGATCAGTGTTGACAAACCATGATGGTTTGAGCTTCATGTCGCGCTTGGAATAATGCCTTGCTCAAACTTCACAACAGGAAGATGAGGTTGTCCGTTTTGTTTGTGCGCATACTAACGTTTCATGTATATGCACACACACATATTTATGACCACACATATTTATCATGCTAACCATATTTATGACCAGGTGGCGCATAGTTGGAGCTCCATCTTGTTAGCTGGCCCTGGAACATGCACAAATTATCTTTTTCTGCCATTATCACAAACCAAATTTGTGGATGGTGGCATCATGGTTAAATTTTTAAGCACTTCGGTGAAGTGTCATTGCATTCATTTTTACTAGCCTCAGATGAAAGGTTACGGATAGCGGAAACACAGTGATACAAAAGGTTGAGTCGATGATGATAGCAACAAAATGCTCCTCGACAATGCCACTTGGCGGATTGTTCGGCAATGACGTGGGTAATGGAGAAAGAGCTACCAACCACATCCAGTGTACAGACATGAGTAGCTAACTGTACGACACATTTCGCCAGTTTCACCACACCCTTCGCCCATCCGAGACCACCCATTTGCATGTAACACTCACTTTAACATTGAAAGCTTCCGTATAAGGGCGTTTCAGCAATTTTATCGATCTTAGGATTTTAGAATCATCTCATGTTCACCAAAAACCCGCCATTGAATATCGTGGGGTCTGTTCATCCTTTGCAAATTACACAGTAGCCTTTTTCATACGGAGTCAAAAGGATATTTCGTCGCATGATTTGTTGCATTTTCAATCTGTTCTGGTCATGCGCAGAGTTTATCGCAAGGCCCTAGGTTTGTCGAGCCAAACCAGGGGGTGGGAGGGGGCGTTCCGGCATCTTAACCATTACAGAATAGCGCCACTGTTTCCGAACCCCTGCTGCGAATTCGTACGGCGATCTGAGGCGACGTTGGTCACAAAATTTGGTGTGGTCACAGCTTTAAACCCCATGAAAATCCGGTTGCCATGGTGATGAACCCCGCAGCATCGGAGAAAAGGCTCTTGATATCGTCGACTACGTGTTGGCCGGTAGGTTGCGAGTTTTTGCCAGCGGTCCCCCGCGCAGAAGATATTCAGGCGCATCAATGGGCATGCCGCGATCCGAGTCAGACGCAACGAAAAGGATTCTGTGAGACAACAGCAAGCAATTGCAGTAGCGCTTATGCCCGTTCTTGCGTGCAACCGGCTTAACGTCGTTGAGTGATTCAGTTGAATGATCTAAAGCTCATAAACGGATATTAAGACATGCGAGTGACCACGCGGCTGCCTGGACCGTGGCGATGCGGGACGGAACGGCAATGAGACTGAGACACAAGAGCCTGCGCTTACACATTGTCATTCTGCTGCAGTCTCGACAGCGCATGGTCAGCACATTCAGTTGACCCGTGCTCTTGATCGCAGTGCATGAGCCGGCTAATTTCATCACGTGTGTTTGCAAAAGACATTTCTTCAGGCGTAATCCTCAAATTTGTCATGCGGTACCTGAAATCGAAAGTCACCAGAAACTCTTGGGCACGTGACGTCGTGGCATAGCTCAGAACATACCAGTGCAGTGTGTGTGTGTGGGGGGGGGGGGGGGGGAAGAAACTAAAGGTTTTTGCAGGAGCGGGTAGAGCGTTGAGGTACATGCTGTACACAATGCCTTTGGGGCATTTTTGAATGCTATTCTTTATGCGGCAAGACCAAGTGAAGCGCATTATCGTATGAAATTTTGGACGTGGTCCGATGCGGTAATAAAATTGTTTGATGTAATCAAAGGACTAGACAATTTAATGGCCAGATTATCAATAGCCTCAAACAAAAATGGTTTATAAAAACAAATTGCGCATCGCGCAATAGTGTCCTTCTAGTCTATCCTGTAATTAATGAAACGTCTGTCCATGCGTCACGCCTGAATGCGTTCGTAGCTCTGACCCTATTGTAAGTCTTAGCGTGAAATTTTGCGAGCGGCAGGGTCAGGTGAGTTGCACTTGCGTAGCAGCTTTTGGACGCGACCCGACCGGCGGGGGCCGTTGGCAAACGTGAACACGCGCGCCATTGGTTTAACACGTCAAACGCAAAATGCTCAAGCTGCTTAAAATCGCCGAAACACTCGGCGAAACCTGGCCCGCCGCTCAGCAACGGGTGATTGCAGCAAAACGAGACAAGCACATTTAGACGTGGAAAGGAACGGTCAATCGCGCAGGCAAAAACGTGGATCGACGCGCGTCGAGGCGCTCGTGCGCTCGTGAGCAAACCGCGACAGTTTTCGAA